TTTCCAGTTTCCACTGTTACAGTTCTGCTTACTGTTGCTCACTGTTCCTTGTTGTAGACCGCGCGAGGGGGGGGAGCCGAAAAGCACGCTGGTGAGCATCTCCCGGGAGGAGTCGCAGAATTTCTCAGGGGGGTCGAAATTAACACCCTTCACGCAGATCGGCGGGGTCAGGGTCCAAAAACACATGGGATTTGCCACATTTCTGAAATTCGGTGGCACCCCTCACGCAGATCGGCGGGGTCAGGGTCCAAAAACACATGGGATTTGCCACGTTTCTAAAATTTGGCGGCACCCCTCACGCTGATCGGCGGAGTCAGGGTCGAAAAACCCATGGGATTTGCCACATTTCTGAAATCTGGCGGCACCCCTCACGCAGATCGGCGGGGTCATGGTCGAAAAACCCATGGGATTTGCTACATTTCTGAAATTCGGCGGCACCCGTCACGCAGATCGGCGCAGTCAGGGTCGAACAACCAATGGGATTTGCCACATTTCTGAAATTCGGCGGCATCTCTCACGCAGATCGGCGGGGTCAGGGTCGAAAAATCAATGGGATTTGCAACATTTCTGAAATTCGGCGGTATCCCTCATGAGATCAGCAGGTTCAGGGACGAACATGATCGACCCACGAACCCGGAAAGGAATGTAGAACTGTAACACATGGCAGCGTTTTCAAAGACACCTGATTGGGTGACGGGCAAATGCAATACTGAAGGTATCGATCTTGATGTACCCTGCCGAGGGCTGTGCTGTGCTGCGCCGTGCTGAATTGCGATGTGCCATGGCGCGACTGTGCTCTATAGCCTCGTGGATCGAGTCCTCCTTTGCATCCGAGTCCTGACCGAACTGATCTGGATCTTAAGCTCGAGCTGCCTGAACACATAGTAGCTGCCCCAGAGCTAATGGACAGGGGAACATGCCAGGAGGACGCGCCGCGAAACGTCCCAAGGGATGCGCCAGGCGACGTGCCAGGGGACGTGCCATGGGGTCGCACCGCGGGACGTGCCAAGGGGACGCGCTACGGAACGTGCCAATGGATGTGCCACGGGATGTGCCAGGGGACGCGCGACGCGACGTGCCAGGGGGACTCGCCAAAGGAAGGAACGTGCCAAGGAACGTGCCAAGTTGCAATGCTGAGTGCATCGACCTTGATGTACCGTGCCGAAATCAGTGCTGTGCTGCGCCGTGCTGAATTGCGATGTGCCATGGCGCGATTGTGCTCTATAGCCTCGTGGATCGAGTCCTCCTTTGCATCCGAGTCCTGACCGAACTGATCTGGATCTTAAGCTCGAGCTGCCTGAACACATAGTAGCTGCCCCAGAGCTAATGGACAGGGGAACATGCCAGGAGGACGCGACGCAGAACGTCTCAAGGGACGCGCCAAGCGACGTGCCAAGGGACGTGCCATGGGGACGCACCGCGGGACCTGCCAAGGGGACGCGCTACGGAACGTGCTGGGGACAAGCGTTTCGCTCGAGACATCCTGTCAAAATCATTTGAATTCCTACGCGCGGGACGCTGCACGCGCGAGACATCCTCGGAATTCCTGCGAGCGGGACGTGAAAACAAGCATTTCGCCTGAGACATCCTTTGAATTCTGGCCCCCCACGAGGCCACCGCTCGAGACATCCTCCAATTTTGCAAAACCAGCGTTTCGCTCGAGACATCCTCAACAAATTATGAAAAACAAGCGTTTCGCTCGAGACATCCTGTCAAAATCCAAAGAAATCGAAATACCCGCGCGCGGGACGCGGCACGCGCGAGACATCCTGGAATTCCTGCGCGAGGGGCGCTTTTCCGTGTCGCGGTCGGCTCTGCAAAACCAGCGTGTCGCTCGAGACATCCTCAACAAATTCTGAAACCAAGCGTTTCGCTCGAGACATCCCCAACTCTGCAAAACCAGCGTCTCGCTCGAGACATCCTCAACAAATTCTGAAAAACAAGCGTTTCGCTAAGGACATCCTCAAATTTTAATTCGCCGGCCCTCTTCCCACTCGTTATTTATCGCAAAAGAAATTCGCCGGCCCTCTTCCCGTCAAACCCGGGGGGAAACCATCTAAAAGAGAACCCTGGGCTCAAGCCCTTTCCGGGAACATGATCGACCCACGAACCCGGAAAGGAATTTAGAACTGTAAAGCATAGACGCGTTTTCAAAGCAGTGCTGAAGGTGTCGATGGCGATGTGCTGTGCCAGGGGCTGTGCTGTGCCCTGCTGCGCTGACTTGGAATTTGCCATGGTGCGCTGAACTGTGCTGTGCTCAAGTGCGTTGTGGATCAACTCGCCCGTGGCCTCCGAATCCTGGCCGAACTAATTTGGATCTCAAGCCCGAGCTGTCTGAATGCAGAACTCACCCTGGAGCTGATCGCAATCGAAACATCCACTGGGACACCTCACGAAACATCCCACGAAACACCTCACGAAACATTGCACGGGACACCTCGCGAAACACTCCACGAGACCTCCGTGTTAGATATCCCCGTGAGCGGCGTGGACACGTGCAGGAAGCCATGCCGCCCCCTTCAACAAATTGGCAGGCTGCTGCGCTCTGCCGTGCTGCGCTGATTTAATGCGCGCCCTGCCTTGCGTTAATGTATTGTGCAGCATGTCATTGTGGATCAAACCGTCCTGTGGGAGCCCTGACCAAATTGACGTGGATTTGAAGCTCGCGCGGCCTGAACGGTCTGAGCGGGGGTCGCACAATATATCCAGAAGCCTCTGGGGGGCTCTCAAGGCCTACGAGGGCTCAAGGAAAACCAAACACGCTCAATCGCTTGGCTGCCACGATCGGTCCGCGGGCGGCCGCTCTGCCCGGCCTCGATCCGAAAGCCTCCTCCTCTTCCTCTTTCTCCTCCTCCTCCTCCTTCTTCTCTTCCTCCTCGTCCTTCTCAGCCCCTCTCGCCCCTGGGCTCTGGGCGCAGTTTCGTCCGGGTTAGGATTGCAACGACGATGGTGATACTGTGCCAGGGTCTGTGTCGGGCTGCGCTGTGCCGCGCCGTCCCTTGGGAAACATGCCAAAACGTGTCGCCCGCCACCCCTTCAGCATCGGATCTGAATCGCAAGCGCGCCCGAGCAAGCCCCATGTCTCGAGCGCAAACCATCAACTTGCCCATTGGCGGCAACGCGCCCAAGACGACGACATCGCATCCGCGGGGAAGGGCGATGCGGCACGGCTGTTTCTGATGCTGGCGACGCGGAAGTCGCGCGCACTGGCCGTGGCAGCACAGGAGCAGGAGTATGTTTTCGTCTCCGGGCCGCTCTGACGCAAGCTCTGTATCGCAAAGGGTGTCCGCGACTGAGACGTCGCAGAAACATCATTGCAGGGTGAAACGAAGCCAGCACTGCGCACCGCGATGTGCGATCGCGTCGGCGCGGTAGCGTGGCCGTAAGGGTGGCGTAGGCCTGGAACGCGCGCGACCCCGCGTCGCTACCAGCGCTGTAAATGCGGCGTAGGCCTGGAGCGCGACGGCCCCCGTGAGAAATGAGCGGCGCAGGCCTGCAGCGCGTCGGGCCGCGCCGACGACAGAGTCAGATCCGCGGCCGCGGCGCCGCCGGAGGGGCCCCCCTCGACGCGGCGACGCTGCCCTCGGCCTCCGAGCGCGCGGTTGGCCGCGCAGCTACATGGGCACTGCTAAGGCCATGGCGAAGTTGAAGCTCTTCACTGCCCCGTTGACCGGCGCGAGAAGCAAGCGCGGGGCCACGGGGGTGATGTCCGTGAACTTCCACGCGAACAGCTGCCTGCCCGCGTACTGGGGGAGCGGGTACATGCGATTCAGCAACTCTCGGCTGACGCGGTGGTGATCGAACGTTTGGTCGAACTCGTCGCCGCGCCCCAATTCCTCGCAGGGACCAACAAAGGACGGCCAGCGTTGGGCCCGCGGCTCGGAGGGGGCAACTAGCGATCAACGGTCTAACCGCAGGGGGGGGGCAGCGCCCGGCGGAGCGGGCGGGCGACGGGGGGCAACGGGGGGCCCGTCGGCAGGTCTGTCCTGGCACTCCAAATACGTCGTCTCGAAGCGGATCACCCATGAGGTCGCTCGCGGGGGAGCACGCCCTGGCACGCCGGGGTATGGGATGCCCGAATTCGTCTGGCACAAATATATCTTCTTCCCACGGGCCCAAGTGCGATTGGAGGCAATGCTGATGTCCCACTGCTTGTTGGGGTAGGAACTGATGTGCGGCTCCTTGATCAAGTAGCCGACGGAATCGTTCGGCGGGGGCGCGAACCCATCGGTCCCGCCAGGGGGCCCCGAGGGCGGGCCCGGAGGGGAACCCTCGGGCGGCGCCTTCTTTTTCAACGCCCGCTTGTCAATCCGCTCCCGGGGGCGGCGTCCGTCAGCGGGCGGCTGGCGGGCCCTGGCGACCATGTCGCTCGCAGCGATGTGCGGGCTGGTCGGCGGCCGCGGGCAGCTGAAACGTCAATTGAGCCACGGGCAATTGCAAGGATAAAGATTGCAGTGAGGCAGGAGGGAGGAGGCAGACATCATGGGCCAGGAGAAACGAAGCGCGTCAAGGCGGTTCCTGGTGGCTCCTCAAGGCTTGCAAGCCTCGTTCTCCACATGAAATAAACGGACTTGCTCATAGCTGGACGAACGCATGCACCACGACGCAACGGGGGCGCAGGAGGGCGATGATTTTGGCTCCGCGCCTCTCGCACGCGAGCTTCGCAACGCAAGCAAGGGCTGCGACTGCGACGACACGGGAACACCTGCGGAATGTGAAACGAGGCCGGCACTGCACGCCAGCGCTCGCGCCGGCGTGGCAGCGTGGCCGACGGGATGGCGTAGGCCTGAGACGCGCGCGACCCTGCGTCGCTGCCAGCGCTGTAAATGCGGCGTAGGCCTGGAGCGCGGTGGCCCTCTGGAGCACGATAAGCTGGTCAAAGGCACGAGCAGCACGTAAGCAGGAGGAACGCGAGGGGGCGGGGGCCGCGCGCCGCCAGAGTGACCCCCCTCGACACAGCGCGGGGCACGCGGGGCCGCTCGGGCAGTGCTGCAGCGGTCAGCTGCGGCGGTGAACTCTGTAAGCGCACCATTCAGAGATCAGCCTCATCCGTTCGAATTCGCGCCCGACCCCGTCCGCGGCCTGCAGCTGCTTGGAGCCCATGAGGCCAAGGAACTCCTGAACCTCGTCGGCCGAGAGCGCGAAAACCATCGAGTGCAAGGAGTCGCAGAGCCAGGCAGCGTCGCCATCTCGCACGGCCTCTGGCGGTCGAACGAGCGCGATCCAGTGCCGGGGGTCAGGCTGGTGCAGGATGAGCCCCAGGGCGTGGTCGCCGTGGAAGACTGCGAGCCGGTCGTCCGAGTCCCCCACCGTGCGGATGGCGCCCTGGTGGTCCGCGCCCTGCAGCAGATCGAAATGGCACCCGCAGTCCTGGAGGTTCAGGCGCAGGGCCCCGTCCTCGAAGTCCCCCTCGGGGTGACGTTCGTTCCCCGCGCGCCGCCGGAACTGCGCGGCCGACAGCTGCCGCATGCCCGCGTGGCCGAGGCAGTGGTTCACCGCGAAGAAGCCGCACGATAGGCCGAGCTGCGTGCCGGACTCGGGGTCCACCTCGCCCATGAGAGAGTTGTTGAACCACGCCGGCGCAGGCCTCGGTCTGCCGATGCGGCGGCGGAGCAGGTCGCAGTACCAGCCGCGGGCGCGGGGCGCCGGCGCCAACACCAGAGTCGACTGCGTCGAGGAAGCCGGCGCTGCGCCGGCAGTGCCGCAAGCCAGCTCGCCCTCCTCCTCCCCAGCAGCCTCGCCGCGCGACCGCTTCCGCGGCAGCGAAACACCCTCCCCGGGCTCCTCGGACGGCGCGGTCGGCAAGTCCGTCTTCGAGAGCAGGTCCTGGCGCGGCCTCTTGCCCCGGAGTCTCCTCCGCGGGGCCGCGTCGGGCCTCGCCTCGGCCGCGGGGCGCGCGACGGACCGGGCGCAGACGGCGCCCGCCCTGATCCAGTCCTCGGCGATGTACAAGAACCTGCCCGGGCGGTCGGGGTCCGGCGGGCACGTGGGCACGTTCTCCCATGCCGGCGCCCCCAGCTTCCCCTGCTCGCGCACCATCTTGCGCCGCGTATTCCTGTTGAGCGTCGCCAACCTGCCCATGAACTCAATCAGGTAGTCTGGCGGCCCCTGCTCGAGGATCGACCAATCCAGATCGCCGGTGCTCTCGTCGCGCGGGAAGTTCTGCAGCAACATCCACTCCAGTCTCCTGGCCCTGCCGAGGACCATCCAGACGTGCTGGAAATACTCCGCCTGGCGCTCCTCGCCCTGCATCGTGCCCGGGCGAAACAGGTCGACGACGAAACCCTTGGGCTCGCCCTCGGGCCCGCGGATGGTGCGGCCCTGGATGCTCTGGAAGGTGAGCTGGTCCTCGGGTGCCCAAGAGAGCTGCGTGCGCGTCACTTCCAGCCCCTTTTTCCGCTTGCTCTTGGCGACGACCGGCTTGGCCCGCGCCGCGCCTGGATGATTCACCGTGAACTCGCGCGTGACGGGCAACTCCCACTCGTCCTGCACGGGTTCCAAATGGTACACGCCAGGCTTCTTCAGGCCAGTGTAATCCACCTGGGCGAGCTCTGCAAGCGCCCGCTCCGCTTCCGACTCACTGTCGACGCGAACTGATCTCGACTCTAAGCGAGAGCTGCCTGGACGCACGATGCGCCCGGGGCCGGCTGCCGTCGAATCACTCCGAGACTCGACCAGCTCGAGCTCAAGGTCGGATTCAGATCTGGAACCTGAAGGGGGGCTTCGGATGCGCCGGGAGGGGAGGGGGGCCCCCCGACCCCTCACCCCCTCGCCCCCTGCAGTCGCGATCCCCATGTGGCAGCGGCACGGTCGTTTGCAGAGCTCGCCGCGGGGCCCACCGTGCAGCCGTCCCAGCGAATCTCGAGGTGCACGGGGAGATAGTCGCAGACCACGAACCCCCGCTCCCAGCACGGGTGATCCGGCGAGGGCTGCTCGGAACCACCGCCGGGGTTCTGCGCGAAGCCGAAGCGTTCCCGCGGGTGAAAGCGGATGCCCACAACCTCGCCCGTGGCCTCCTGCACCAGCTCCGGGCCCATGACTTTCTTCGTGAGGCGCCCTCGCATGCCAAGGTAGGCCGCGCACATGCCCGGCAGGCCGTTGCTCTTGGAGAGGTTCATGAACTTCAGCGCCTCGAGGTACCTGTCTCGGTTCTGCAGGTGCTTGAAGCGATCGACGGCCTGAAAGTAATACACGAGCTGCCCGCGCGCCCCCGAAGGCGCCGTGCTGCTGAGGCCGCGGTGCCGGACATCCGGCTTGCCGTCGTCCTCCCTGTTGAACGAGGCAACGGGGCCCGGGCAGACCCTCGCGGCGGCGAGCACGTGGAGCTGCTGCAGGCGCGCGACCTGCTCCCACTGGATCGCCGCGCGAGCGCCGAGGGCGAAGAAGCCCCTGACGCCCTCCAGTTCGTAGTCCATGGACATCCTCGGGTCGTCGGGGCCCAGCTGCACGCGGTCTCTGATCTTCGCGCGCAAGTCGTCGGGCACTCTCGCCCCTCCCGGAGTGCGCATGATCTCGAAGAGCCGGGGCAGGTCCTCATCGAGAAAGCGATGCGTCCCAGTGAAAAGAACCACGTCGGAGGCCATCTTCCTGAAGACCTTCCAGCCGTCCTCGTCCTCGTCCGTGACCTTCCGCGGGACGCCGGGAACGCGCGAGTCGACCAGCAGAGCCTCCAGCAGCGTGTGGCTGCAGACCGGGTTCACCTGCATGAAGTCGCCCATGATGGCCTGCGCGAGCACCTGGCCGAAGGGCTCCTCGATGGCCCTGTCCGCGCGGAGCCGCAGCAAGTCCTTGCGGCCGAAAGTCGCGCGGCGACTCAGGCCCGCGAGGAGCGGGGGGGAAGCCAGGCCGATCTCGTCGGCGAGGAGGAGCACAAGGTATTCCCACTCGGCCTCCAACTTCTTCTTCGCCCTGGAATTGGGCCTCAGCCTGTTCGCCGCGAGGGACTGCTTCCGCGTCAGCTTCGCCGCCGCGTGCATGGTCTTGCCACCGAGGATGCGTGCGGCGCTGTTGGCCGCGGCCACGAGCTTCAGCCCCCTGTGCCCGAAGAAGCGCACGACCACCTTGTTGACCACCTCGGTCATGCAGTAGGTCTTCCCAGAACCCCCCGGCCCGTGCAGGAAAACGCGGCGGACCTGCACGTCCCTCGAGGCCGCTGCGAGGCCCGCGGCCGTGGACAGGCTGTCCAAGCCGTCCGTCTCGAGGGCCTTCTGCCAGAGTTGCTGTATCGGCTGAAGGAGGAAGAGCGTCACCAGGTACTGCTCCTTGCTCTGCCACACCCCGGACTCGGCGATGAGGGCCAGCGCCATCTGCAGCGGGGATATCGGCATGTCCTCCTGGCCGAGGCGCCTCGCCGACGCGGGCGCGTCGGCGGGCGCCGCCGTCGCGACGGGCGGCCCCGCGCCGGCCGCTCCCAGATTGTCGTCCTGTGCGGCCCTCTCCTCGCGGATCCTGTCCTGTTCCCTCTTGGCGCTCTGCACGTCCTCGGGAGTGAGCGCTGCCAACCGAGGGGCGCGCTCGCGCACGGCGCAGGGCTGCCGGGCGCTTTTGTAAGCGGGCCCCTGCATGCGCAGGAACGTTTCCATCAGGGCTTTCTTGTGCGTGCCCCCTCGACTGCGGACGGCCGCCTCAGCCGCCGTCGTTCTGTGCGCGACGTCGTCGACCTCATCCTCCTGCAACCTGAAGATCGGCTTCATGCCCTCCTGATCCTCTCGCGCGTCCGTGCTCTCCTGGCGCTCCTCCCCGGATGAGTTTTCGCCCGGCAGCGCCTCGTCCAAGTCGAAAGCCGCGTCATCGTCGGATCGATCTCCGCCGAGCTCCTCCTCCGCCACCGCGTCGCTGGGCCCCTGCGCCGGCCTCGGCAGCCCGCGGGCCTCGGCCATGTACTCCAGACGGGCGGCCACCTCCACGTGCCGAACGGCGAAGAACATCTCGGGGGTCAGCTGGTCGTCGTGGACTCCAGGGCAGGCGCACGTGACCGACTCGCCATCGCGGGCCGCCCGCTCGCCCAGCCGAGCGCGCTCCTCCTCCGAGCCGGCGACCCCCAGGAGCCGCCCATCGTCGCCGCGGACGTCGCCCGCGAAGCGCAGCACGGCCCAGGCCAGGTCCACGGGTAGGGCCATTCGCCAGCACCCCGCCCCGCGCGACGGCCGCAGCAGATCGGCGTCTGCGTCCGAGGTCGGGACCTCGCGGCGGCGGCACCAGGTGCCGTCCAAGCCGGGGTCCGTCGCGTGGCGGCCACCGCAGAGCAACGGCAGGAAACTCTCGTGGACCGGGCCCCCGCGCACGGTGCCGGGAAGATGCCAGTAGCGCACGGCGGTCGTGTCGTGCAGCACGGGGCACTGCCGCGAGCGCTGCAGGATCTGGTCGGCCCTCTTCGCCAGGACGAGCTGTTCGGCGTGATACGCGCGCCAAGGTCCCCGAAAAGAGAGAAGAGGAGGGCGACCCCCCCTGGCCTTCCCCTCCCGGCCGAGGGACGCGCAGCAGAAGTGCCGGGCGAAGTGCACCTGGCGACAGCTGTCCGGCCCCGGGCATGCATGCGGCCTCAACAGCACCTGCTTGAAGCAGGCGTTCGTCTCCGGGTCTTTCTCTTCGGTCGGCATCGTAAAGCCGGAGATGTACGGCGCGGCCGGAGCGGGCCGTAACTGCTGGACGTAGGCGCCATGCTTCCCGTAGTGGCTGGCGAAGGCGAACTGGTCCGGCGCCAGGGCGTCCGGGTCCCCCGGCACCACGCGCACCCACATGCCGTAGTCGTAATAGGACATGGCGGCCAGGGGAGCGTTCGCCGCTCGACCCGACGCGCCGAGCTCGGTGGAGCCGCGGTGCAAGTAGTCGTCGTAATAGCTGTTGCTCTTCAAGCGGACCTCCGAGTTCCCCTGCTGTGGCTCGTCCGCGGGCCCCTCGGCCAAAGAGGCGCCTCGTCCGCCGCGCGCCGCAGGCGCGTCGCCTGCGGGCGCGCAGCCAGCTGCTGCGACCTGCCGAGGGGCATCGAGCATGGCGGGCGGGGGCGGCGCGCCGCCGGAGGGACCCCCCTCGACGCGGCGCGCGGCCGGCTGCGGCGACCCTCCCGAGGCAGCCGGGGGGATCCCCTCCGGAGCCGCCAAGGGGGAGCCGGGAACACTGGCGGCGGCATCGCCGTCGGCATCGCCGTCGGCGCTTTCGCGCTCCTCGGGCTCGCTGTCGCAGTCGCACGGGTCCGTGGCCTGGCTGTCCACTTCCGCGGCGTCGAGGAGCACCGTGGCCTCGTTCTGCTGCTCGCGCTCGTCGAAGCCCTGCTGGAGTCGCCGGCTCTCGAAGGCCAGCCACATGGCGTTCTTCATCATCAGCTGCCAGGTGGAGTGGGAGCGCAGCACCTCGCGTCGGGTGAGCATCTGCATGACCATGAGGCAGTTGCCCTTCACGATGGCCTGGTTGGCAGCAGTGGCCTGCCGGATCGGGCGCCGCCGAGCCTCGTCCTGGACCTCGGGATAAGCTGGAGCTTGAGATCCGAAGCCATGCGTTCCCCCGAGGAGCCCAGACTTCACAGACCTGGGACAACATGCTTTCGGGCCACAACTCGAGCCTCGGGCGCCCCCTGGAGCCTCAAGAAGGGCCCAACAAGCTCCCGAGACGGCCCCGAGGGCGCTCGAGGCACTCGAAGGAGGCCCAAGGGAGCTTCAACAGGCAAGGCCCCCGAACGGCCCCGCGGGGCCACCCCCCCCTCCAAATTCTCCCACGAAGCAAGCCTGCTTTTTTGCTTTTTTGCAACCAAAAAGCTGCGCTTGCTCCGCCCGATCCCAACCCCCCAGGCCCGCCCCATCCCCTCTAATCAGCGCCCTCTGACCTGGCTCAGCGCGGGCCCCCTCCTCAGCGGCTTCGGCCGCGGGACCCCCGCACCCCCCGTCTCCTCCGCCGCCGCCGCCTCTTCTTCCTCGAGGCGGAGCCGCTCCTCCAGGCGCCGAATGCCGTCGCGCACCGCCACCAGGAGGGGCGCGCAGGTCATGTTCGGCTTGGTGGAGTAGTCGCAGGCGTAGAACATGGCCTGAATGGACTGCTTCATGATGTTAACGGTCAGCGCTCTGATACCGCGCCTGAAGCGCTCGGCTGGGCCCAGCTTCCGCTGCGCCGCCTTGCGGGCTTCTCGCCGTTGCCTGAGCATCATCTCGGCCTCGTGATCTTCGAGCTCTGGCATGTGGGCCCTCTTGCGGGCGGCCACGAGCTTCTCCACGCTGTCGGGGAGGTTCGCCAAAAACTCTCGGTCCTCCTTCGCCTCGAGCGCGGCCTCCTCGTCCGCAGAGAGGGGCGGGTCGCGCAACATGTCCCGGGCTCCCGAGTCAAACCCGTCCCAAAACGTGCGCATCATGCTCTGGAAATCGACGTTGGAGTTGAGTGCCGTCTGGGCCACGCCATTGGAACTGCCTTCCATCGGGTTCCAGCGAATGGGCATGATCAGGCCGCGTTTTCCATGGTCGGGGTCGGCATTGACGACCGGGCCGAGTTTGCGCCCGGGGCGCAGGGGCACGGGCGCGCCGTTCTCGTCCAGGGGGAACATGTCGGGCTCTGGCTCGCCAGGCAGCCTGGGCAGCACAAGGTCCTTGCCGGTTCGCGCCAGGGTCACCAGCTTGGCGGCGCGCTTCTTCTGCGCACCGATCGCTCCCGGAGGGCCCTTCGCGCCCTCCTCTACGTGGAGCCAGAGCTTGACGAAGTGGCAGAAGTTGAAGCGGCAGTGCCGGGCCACGCGCATGGACTTCTCGACCACGTACTTGAAGCAGGTGTCCTTGTGCTGGTGCATCTGGCCCACGGCGATGTCCTGGCGGTAGTCCTCGGCGTAGCGCGCGGCCCAGGCCGCCGCCTCCGCGCTCCGGCCCGCCGCCGTCTCCAGGTCGTCGTCCGTGACGGGCCGCAGCAGCCGGTAAGGCTCGAGGCGACAGAGTTGAGCGCCCGTCTGTGGCACCATATACTCGCTCAGGGGCCTCGCCTCGGCCGCCAGCGACTGCCGGCGTCGTCGGAGGTGGTGGTCCTCGAAGAGGGGCTCGGTGGCCAGGAAGACGCGCCGCTTCTCCGGCCCCTTCACGTCGTGCTCCAGTTCGCCATCCATGCGGCACTCCTGCTGCAGCTTCTCTGAGAAGGGCGTGTTCCTGGGCTCGGGCGCCCGGTCGGGGTCGTCGGTGAGGAGCAGCGGGAGCACGGCCGCGGAGTCCAGCTGCATGGACTGCACGGCGGCCAGAGTCTTCTCCTGCCACACGCGAAGCCGCCGGCGGATCTCCTCGGTCTCTCTGTTGGCCACGCATCGGAGCCACTGCTCGGACTGCGCGTGCACGAACCACAGGAGGATGTGCGGGTGGATGGACAGCCGCGCCTGCTCCTCGATGGGCCCGTGCAGCGCCGCCACCTCGAGGAAGGCCCCGCCCGTGCACGAGGTGGCGAAGCCGTCGGGGAAAGCCGCTCCGTCGCAACGCCCGTTGTGGCGCAGAAACTTGTCCCAGGGGCCGGTGCCGAGCACGTGCTCGCAGAAGAGCTGCATGGTGAAGATGAAGAAGCGGGCCTGGGCCACGGGGTCCTGGGCGACGATCTGGAGCATCCGCCGAGCGGAGGGCATGTCGGGGGCCTCCGCGAGGAGGTCCACGGCGTGGGTCTCGCAGCCCCCGGCCGAGTGCAGGGTGAGCAAGACGGGGCTCCGCACGTCCACGACGTTCGGGGTCAGGAAGCCCCCGGCGCCGCCGAACATGAGGGCAAAGCCGTTCTGCTCGTGGCGCAGTCTCGCGCGCGCGCCGTCGGAGCCGAGAACCTCGGAGGTGAACACCATGAGCTCGGAGAGGGCGTCTCTGACGTCCTGGTCCACGGCGGGGGACCGGAGCGCGTCCTTCAGGGACGCATTCGGCCCGAGGCTCTGCACGGCGGCGTCGAGCTTCTCCGAGGAGGCCGCGCAGATCTTCTGCAGGCGCGCATCGAAGCCCAATCTGTTCACGTGGCCCCTGGCCCTGCGGATCTGCTCGATGCGCCGCCCGGCGTCGTAGTAGCAGCAGATCAGATCGCGGTCGGCCCCCCAGCGCGGCTGCTCGGGCGCCTCGTAGCGCCTGCACGGATCTCTGCACTGCAGACAGCCGCACGAGGAACCGCCGGGAGCGCGGGCCCGCCCGGTCGCGCCGGGCCCGCCGGCGTCGCCCTTGCCCCACGTCTTGGAGGTGGCGGCCGCGGCCAAGTCCTCGGGAGTCACCTGGTACACCAGCTCCTCGCGGAGCAGATGCATTGACGCACACTGCTGGAAAGACATGGGCGAAGTCCTGGACAGGCCGAAAACTCCATCACCGTAAGGGAACTTGTCGGGGAAACACATGGACCAGAGCTCCGGGCTGTACATCGACAGCGGTCTCGTGGCGGTGCCCTGGGCATACCCCTCCATGCCTCCCGGGGCCACGGAGCTCCCCTGCTCCTCCGCTTTCTTCAGCGCCTCGTCGTGGCCGATGATCCGCTGCGACAAGCTGCGATCGAGCATGCCTGTGGCGCTGACCTGCAGCTGTTTGATCAGGCGCCGGCGCGGGCGACCGTTGCCGGAGGCCTCCTCGCGCATGGAATCCTGCAGGGCCTCGAGTTCAGCGTGCACCTTGCGGACCGTCTGGAGCTCGTCGAGGTCGCCGCTGCTCGTGGCATCGGCGCAGAAAGACATGGCCGGGAGCGCCTCGGCGGGGAAGTCCGGGTCGGGCAGCGCGGCGTTCAGGTCGTTCTCCCCCTCCTCCTCCTCCTCCCCCGCCTCGTGCTCGGACGCGCACTCCTCCCCGTCCACTCTCACGACGCTCTCGTGGGCCGCGGCGCACGCGTCGGCGGGGCCCTCCATCCGATGCTTCAACTTCTCCGAGACCTCGATGGGCACTGCGATGCGTCGCACGGCCTCGGGAACGGCCCCCGCGTCGCTCATGTCCGCGTCTGCTCTGTCCTGGTTGCAGGTCATGTCGCTGTACGAGACCGAGTGGGAGGTAAAGAAACCGGCGGCGCCCATGTACTCGCCTTTCCGCACGTTGGCCCACCGGGCCCTGCTGAGATCGTCCACGTCGGCCCCTGCCAGCGCGATGACAACGCCGTCGGCCAGGAATCTCTCCGCCTCGGCCGCAGGGGCGGGCAGCTCGCCACTTTTCAGGAGATCCACCTCGCGAGAAATCCCCAGTCGCACCCCCCCGGCGACGCGCGCCGGCCATGGCAGCGACCCACGCGCACACGCACACACGTACGCACACGCACACACACACACACACACACACACACACACGCACACACAGACACACTCGCACACACAAACAGTGAAAATATAATCAGGAGAAATCAGAAATCTGGTGGCTGGCGCGCGCTTCCAGAAGTGCGGTCTGAGATCCCCCCGACCTTGGCCTGCGGGAAGCATATGAAGTTCCCGACGAGTCCCCCCTGCCGTTCGTCTCGAGGACCCCTCTTCTCGGGCTCGGCGATGATCTTGTTCACGCACACGCGGCCCCGGGCCAGCGATCGCAGCTCCATGTCCCGCAATGGTTCGCCGCCGGGTCGGAGGGGAAATGGAACTCGCCCAATCCAATTGTCGTTCGCCAGCGCATTCACTGGCATTTTCACTTCTGGCGCGCCCTCCAATGATTTTCCGCAATCGAAACACACCTTGACGAGGGGCGCCCGCCCGTGCCCGTCCAGACTGAGGTCGGGCAGCCTGCGGGCGTGGAGCAGCCACCGCCACTCGGGCCTGTGAGGGTGCGGCACGCTGGAGGCCCACAGCTCGTGGCGCGGGATCAGCGGCCATCTCGCGGCATACCGCTCCACTGCGAGCAGCGCGTGCACCTTCGCGGCGGCCTCTGGGCGCACGGCGAAGCGAGCCCGGCGCGGGGGGGCCGCGTCCTCTGCCGCGGGCAGCTCCGGGGGGCCCTGGGGCTGCAGGGCAGGCGCGCCCGCCGCCGGGTCCTCCTCGCCACCCCCGGCGCCCTCTGCCGCGGGCTCGCCAGCGCCCGCATCCTGCTCGGGGTCCACGGGCTCCACGAACAAGTCCGCGTCGAAGAGCTCTTCCAGCCAGAAGGACTGCGCGCACACAACGCAGCCGCTCAGGGCGCGGCAAACGGTCGAGGAGTTCTCCTTGCCCTCGAAATGCCCCCCCCATTCCGCCCCAGGCCGGCTCTGCGTCTGGTTCTCTGCGAAGCGACCGAGCGCGCGGCGCTGCTCCGCGCCCCGGACCTCGAAGGAGCCCTCCATCTGCTCGTCCGCGAGGATTCTCTTTCGGATCTCCTCCTCGACTCGCCGCGGCGCCAGCGAGCTCCGCTCCGCCTCGGGCAAGTCCACGTGCGCCTGGCACCAGTGCTCCTGCAACAACTTCTTCGTGGCGAAATCCTGGCCGCACAGGTAGCACGGACATGGCTGGCAGCACACGGGCTCCCTGGGCCACTCGCACCGGCTGCCGAGAATGGCGCTGCCCGGGATATAAGCCTCCGTCTGTCGCACCGTGCCCCACAACACATGGGCGGGGATCACTGCCTCCCAGGACGCCAAGTCCCCGGGCGAGAGCTGCCGGCGCAGCAGAAAGCCTCGCTCGTCCCTGACATCGCCCAGCCGCGCGCGGCGCAGAAGCTTCAGGCCATTGAGCAGCAAGCGCTCGGGATCGGTTTGTCTCCTGGTCGGGGGCCTCACGTTCAGGTGGCCATGCTCCTCGTAGTGATCCTGCAACTGCTGGCGCAGCGGGTCCGCCTGCCACTCGGGCCGCTGCGCCTCCGGGATCCTGTCGAGCAGCTGCTGCCACTGCGCCGCGTCGCCCGGCGAGAGCTGCTCGCCCGTGAGGGCGCTGGCGTGCCTTCGGGACAGCGCGCTCAGCAAGTAAAGGCGCGCAAAGTGATCGTCTTCACCGAGATCTGCAGCCTCGGAAGGCCAACCTCCGTGCCGCTGGATGCATTCGCCCACCACGCGCAGACGCAGATCCTCCGGGCAAGTTCTAACGAGCAGATCCTCCCGAAGCGAGTCGACGCCGCGACTCCTCGGGATGTCCTTCTGCGCCGCGCGCATGCCCGCGGCCCAGGCCTCGCGCTTCGTGGCCTGGGCATCCCTGGTACGCCTGCACAGCGCCGCCCTCCGCTCGGCATCCAAGGCGTTCGCGGTGCCGGGGGCGCGCTGTCGGGCCTGGCGGACGGCCTCCAGCACGTCCTCCACGACCTGCTGCTGCTTCCTCTTGCGGGTGGAGACGTTGAAAACCTGGGCCGCTTCCCCCAGCCAGTCATCGTCGAGCGCCGTTCCCGCTTGGATCTGTCTCAGCCGTTCCGTGCGGCGGGCACTTTCGAGGTCATAGCGGCTGCGCATCAGGCGCTGTCGCAGATCATCTGTGGCCAAAGAGATCATCAGGTCCCGACATGCGTCGATGTCTCGCTGGTTACGACTGGCATACTCTCGCGGCGGCAAGGGCGGGGCTTCGTCCGTGGCGGCAGGCCTCTTCCTTGGGCCACGCTTGCCCCTGCCGCCCTCGAGGCCCCAGAAGTCCGCGTCGTAGCGGGATGTGGCGAAGCCAGGAGACGCTGCAGGGCGCTTCCGCGAGGACATGGCGCAGGGAAGGTGGCTGTCCGGTTGGCCCGCCTGGCCGCGGCACCGCCGGAGGGGCCCCCCGCGACGCGGCGCCGGGGCCGGATCGCAGGGGAGCTGATGGCCTAGCCGCGGTTGCCAGAAGTCGAACTCGAGCCGCAACCTCCGCGGAACAAGGGGATAGCTGGCGAGGCGAACTCGGAACAAGAGGATCGCTGGCGAGGCGAAGTCCGCACGCCCGCGCATCCCGCGGTCGAACACCGAGGTGGCCGGTTTTTTGCGCCCCCCTCTGATGAGTCCCAGCTGCCCGCCTCGGGCCCCCGATTAGGAAACAATCCCATGCGGAAAACAGAAGCCTCCGGATGTGTCGCCAGCCTTCGACGAGCCCCGCCTCCCGCAGGCCGACGGTTGTTTAAAGCACCCCCCCCCCGTGGCCCCCAGCGGGCTGCCTGGCTGCGGAAGGGGTCATAGCCGAACGCACCACGACGGAGTGGAAGGAAGCATTTTTCGCGGGAGCCGCAGCAGCGCATCTGCGGATGGCTCAGACCAGGAGGCGAGACCCGGGGCGCCGCGCGCCGCGCGAACGTCGCGCCGCGCGAACGTCTGGGGCTCCGCCGCGCGCCGCGCGAGTGTGGCGCGCCGCCGGAGGGACCCCCCTCGGCGCAGCGCCCGACACTCGCAATGGCGCGCAGGCAGCAGAACGGCCGGCGCCCGCAACAAAGGGCCGCCGTAAAATGTCGGCGAAGTGAAACGATCCAAGAATTGCGTCGTGAGCCTGTAAAAAGGAGAACGCGTCGCAGAGTTGTCCCGTGGCGCAGGCCTGGAACTCGGAGGCCCCGTGTCCGGGGCGACGCGCGACGCGCGGAAGTCTGGGGCTCGCGGCGCAGGCCTGGAGCCCAACCAACTCGCCCCCGGAATTCTGGGGCTCGCGGCGCAGGCCTGGAGCCCAACCAGCTCGTCCAGACGCTTACAGGCAAAGCACAGGAGTCCTGTCGACATGTGCAGGTCGTCGGCGCCCGGGGGTCTGGCGAGCCATACTTGACGCGTGCAGGTCTGTCGTCGACGCGCGCAGGTCGTCGTCTGTCGCGCGGGGACCTCGGCGCGGCGATGTGCGCTGCAAAAGCCTCGGCCCCCAGACCCGATGGGTCTCTCGGGGACCTCGGCGCGGCCATGTGCGCTGCAAAAACGTCAGCCCCCAGACCCGACGGGGCTCAGCACCGCGGGCGCCGCCAGAGGGACCCCCCTCGACGCATCGCCCGCGAGCCTGTAAAAGGAGAACGCGTCGCAGAGTTGTCCCGCGGCGCAGGCCTGGAACTCGGTGGCCCCGTGTTCGGGGCGACGCGCGACGCGTGGAAGTCTGGGGCTCGCGGCGCAGGCCTGGAACCCAAACAGCTCGCGCAGACTGAGGGCATCGCGGCAGGCGAACCTGCGAATCGAGCGGGAAACGAAGGGGATCACGGTGAAACGTCGGGAGCACGGTCGCGGGCCTGCGGGCTGAAAGCGCGGCTCAGGCTTGCAACGCGCTGAGTCTCCGTCGGGCGAGACTTGCCCAGTGGCGCAGGCCTGGCACTAGGCGCCCACCTCGTCCGCGGCGTCGGCGCCCTCCGAGCCAGACAGCGCCCCCGATGCGGCGTAGGCCTGGAGCGCGGCGGCCCTCTGGAGCAAGAAAAGCTCGTCAACGACACTACCAGCAAGTAGGCAGGAGGAGCGCGAGGGAGCGGGGGCCGCGCGCCGGCGGAGAGACCCCCCTCGACGCGGCGCCTGCCTTGGCTTGCGACCGAGCCGCCGCGCGAACTTCAGCGGAAGGTGAAATTGAGCCGGCACCCGCATCTCGACCGGCGCTCGAGCCAGCGCGGGAGCAGGGCCGAAAGAGCGGCGTTGGCCTGGAACGCGCGCGACACTGCGTCGCTGCCAGCGCTGCAAATGCGGCGTAGGCCTGGAGCGCGGCAGCCTCCTGGAACAGGAAAAGCTCGTCACAGGCGCGAATCGCACGCGGGCAAGAGGAGCGCGAGGGAGCGGGATGGGGCGAGCTGGCGACGGAGCGCGAGCGGGGGCCGCGCGCCGCCGGAGGGACCCCCCTCGACGCGGCGCGCGGCGGGCTCGGTTCCGTGGGGGCGCCATGCCCAGCGGAGAGGCAGAGGATGAGAGAGAAACGCATATTCCGGTCAGGCTAGCCGGCCTACCGTTCTACCACCACGGCGCTGGCGCGCCTCTCAGCCGGCGTCAGCGACCTGAGAATCGCGGTGGACGACTTCAAGAACGTGAACCCGCGGACCACGTACTTCCTCACTCGATGAACCATCCTCTTGATCTCCTCCAACTTGCGGCAGGCCACCGCCTCTGGGTTGAAGAAGAGCATGCGCCTCTCCACGGCGGCGAGGGTGCCGGACGTGCAAGAACAACGGAAGGAGAAGTCGTCGCCCACGCGCACGCTCACTGCGCAGGGTACCAAGTCAAACCCATCCCGGACGAGACCGGGAAAGTCGACCGCCTGCGACGCACGCCCGGGCACCCGGACGAGCACGATGTTGATGGGGCGAATCAAGCGCACGAGATCCGGCGGACAATCGTCTGGCAGCCGGGGGCGAACGACGACCGACGTCAGCACGCGGTAGCCGGAGCGGTGGCGGTTGGCGTGCCGCGGGAGGACCAGGCCACGGAGCTCCTTGAATGCCTCGGCCGCCGCGGCAGCCTGCGCCGCCTCAAGCTCGGGCGGCAGCGGCGGCAGCGCAGCATCCACGGCCATGGCCGCGTTCATCTCGGCCGCGCACCAGGCGCCCTCGTCGCCGTCAGAGGACTCGGAGTCGTAGAAGAGATGGGTCTGCTTTCTCAAACGGCACCTCAGTGGGCGCAACACCCCGGTGTCGTAGGCGTCGGCAATGAAATCGGCGTGCTTCTCCTCGGCGACGAAAATGTCGATGTCATTGGGAAACCAGTCGCGCTGTACACCGAGCTTGTTCATCAATATCGCGGTCCCGGCGCTGCCGGCCAGGACGACCCGAGCCTCGCTGCCCATGACGTGGCGCAGGAAGCCGCGCACGAGCATGTCCGCGTGGTACATGGCCTTGCTGGTAGCAGGGGCAAGCAAACGGCGCAAAGCCCGGTCGCAGGTAGGCATCCACGTCATCCCGCACAGGTCCCCAGAACGCAGACCTTTGACGTAGTCGTCGTATGCCTTGCGCGCTCGGTCCCTGGCATCGCCGCAGAAAGCTGCGCAGGTGCCGTGCAGGCGCCACTGAGTCTTGATGTCGAGCATGAAGGTCTCGCGCATGCGCGGCACCGCCAGGTCGCAGATGACGCGGGCCCTGGCGTCGAGTGCGGCCGCCGAGACGCCGTGAGCCATGGCGCCCGGTGTGCAGATCGACCCGCGCAGGCCGCCCTCTGAGGTCGACTCTGCAGGTGCAAAGACGCCGGGCGGCAGCCCGCGCGCTGCCGTTCTCGGGCCGGAGACACTGAGAGCGACTGTGTTCCCCCTGGGGCCCGAACATAAAATATCTCAATACTTCTCGCAGAAACATTTTACGCGCCAGGAGTATCAATATGTCCTGGGCATTTCCCGGACCCCCATCGACGCGGCGTTCTGCGAGTCGGACCGCGAGCAGAGGGCTCCAAGACGTTCCACATGAGCTCAAAGAAGGCTCCAACACGTTCCAAAGGAGCTCAAACAACAACAGAAAACAAGATACACCCAGATACGTTCAAGATACGCTGCATATACGCCCAGGATACGCCTCACCAGAGGCCCAAAGATACGCCAGATACCTGATACATTCCTCACAAACGAATCTCCCAGATACACTCAGCACCCGAAAACCCAGATACGCCCAGATACGCCCAGATACGCTTGCAGATACGCCTCCAGATATCCAGCCGCGGAACAAGAGGATAGCTGGCGAGGCGAACTCGGAACATGAGGATCGCTGGCGAGGCGAAGTCCGCACGCACGCGCATCCCGCGGTCGAACACCGAGGTGGGCGGTTTTTTGCCCCCCTCTGATGAGTCCCAGCTGCCCGTCCCGGGCCCCCGATGAGGAAACAATCCCAAGCGGAAAACAGAAGCCCCCGAATGTGTCGCCAGCCCTGATGAGCCCCGCCTCCCGAAAGCCGCCGGTCGTTCAAAGCACCCCCCCCCCGTGGCCCCAGCCGGCTGCCTGGCTGCGGAAGGGAGCATAGCCGAACGCACCTCGACGGGGTTGAAGGGAAAAATTTTCGCGGGAGCCGCAACGCAGCGCATCTGCGGATGGCTCGGACCAGGAGGCGAGACCCGGGACGCCGCGCGCCGCGCGAGTGTCACGCCGCGCGAACGTCTGGGGCTCCGCCGCGCGCCGCGCGAGTGCGCCCGACGGGTCTCTCGGGGACCTCGGCGCGGCGATGTGCGCTCAAAAAGCCTCGGCCCCCAGACCCGATGGGTCTCTCGGGGACCTCGGCGCGGCGATGTGCGCTGAAAAAGCGTCGGCCCCCAGACCCGATTGGTCTCTCGAGGACCTCGGCGCGGCGACGCGCGCTGCAAAAGCGTCGGCCCCCAGACCGGATGGGGCTCAGCGCCGCGGGCGCCGCCGGAGGGGCCCCCCTCGACGCAGCGCCCGCGAGCCTGTAAAAGGAGAACGCGTCGCAGAGTTGTCCCGCGGCGCAGGCCTGGAACTGGGTGGCCCCGTGTTCGGGGCGACGCGCGACGCTTGTAAGTCTGGGGCTCGCGGCGCAGGCCTGGAACCCAAACAGCTCGCGCAGACTGGGGGCATCGCCGCAGGCGAATCTGCGAATCGAGCGGGAAACGAAAAGGATCACGGTGAAACGTCGGGAGCACGGTCGCAGGCCTGCGGGCTGAAAGCGCGGCTCAGGCTTGCAACGCGCCGAGTCTCCGTCGGGCGAGACTTGCCCAGTGGCGCAGGCCTGGCACTAGGCGGCCACCTCGTCCGCGGCGTCGGCGCCTTCCGGGCCAGACAGCGCCCCCGATTTCTCGCCCTCCTTCGGCGCCTCCTCAGGCGGACCCCCCCGGACGCACCGGACCTTCGTGGGCGTATCAGTGATCAAGTCCTTGGCCGGCCGCTTCTGCGTGCGCGACTTCTTCTTGGAGAGCAGCAGTTCGCGGCAGCCTTCCAGTTCCTTCTTGAACACGTCGCGAGCCTGAGGGATGTCCTTGCAGGAGAAGATGTTCTCGGCCATGATCGTCCATGCGCGCTCGGATCCCTGCGGGCGACCGACGACGAGGTAATCCACGTTCTCCTCCTGCATGAGCGCCGCTCCCGCCTGGCCCTTGGGCGCGAGCATCTCCACCCGGAAGGGGGTCGGCTCCTCGTCGCCGACCGAGACTGCGGCCACGACATCCTTGTGCGTGATCTCCTCCATTTCTCCGAGGTCCGTGACCGTCGGCTCCCCCTGGGCGCGCGCGAGGACCATGACGCACTCGGCAGCGCAGCCGGTGACCTCGCACTTGGCGCTGGAGAGCGTGGCCGCCAACTCCGTCGCGAGATCCGAGACCGGAAGGACGGCGCCAGCGCCGTAATCCGCAACGAGCGACAGCACCTGCTTGAGTGCCGGGCGCTGGGGCGTGTCCCAGGCCCCCATCAGCAGCGGCGTCACTTTCAGGATGGAGAAATTGCACTCGTTCGGAGCGTCGGCGGGTCGGCCCCCCTTCGACAGCGACAACCTGGGGGCTTTCTCGCGGTTGGCGCCGAGGACGACGTCACATCGGACTCGGAAGCACATGCCCGCGACAGTGCGCTGCTGCACCAGCTCCTCCAGCTCGTCGATGTCCTTGACGCCTGCGAGCGCGACGAGGCTCACCTCGTCCGCCAGGATGTCGTCCATGCCGGCCCCGAAATCCCCCAGGCTCACGGAGCTCAAGGCGGCTTTGGTGCTGTCCGGCTCCGTCTGGTGCTTCGCAGCATTCTTGCAGTTGCCGTTCGCGTCGATCTTGGTGCGGCAGTGCTTGCACTTCGCGTACACGGGATCCGGGTTGGAGACGCCTGTGAGCCACGCGCCGTGCACCTCCACCTGCACTTCGGCCGGCAGAGGCCGGCCCCCGGAGACCGGCGCTCGGGTGGATGCCTCCACGGCGATGCCGGCGCCGCCCGTCGAATCAGCGCTGTCCGCCCACGCGACGCTGCAGGTCTTCAAGGTGCGCAAGCAAGTCTTGTACAAGCTTTGCGAAGAACACTGCATGCGCATCACCGCGCCGCTCGGAGTCCACACCTCGGACATGCGCTCGCCCACCGTGGCGCTCAGCGATCGCAGCTCCTCGGCCCTCGCGTGGTTCGGCTGGAGGAACGCCCAAGCAGCCGCGTTCTGTGAGTCCTTGAAATGCTCGGCCGTCAGGTGGACAAGGCCGGACTCCTTCTTCACGACGCGCGCGTTTTCCACCTGCAGCACGACGGGTTGCGCCCACTGCAGCCCCAGACTCCCGTCTTGGCTGCTCGCGCCGTGAGACCCCGACCTCGCCATCTCGTAGAAAGTCTTGCCCCACAGCTCCACGAGAATCGACTTGCCGCCCTCCTCGTCCTTCAGCCAGACCTCTACCTTCTGCGTCGTCGCCAACGACTTCTGCTCCACCACCAGGCCCACGACGTCCACGCGGTCATTGTCGTTGCACTGCTCCACGTCGCGTAGTTTCCCCCTGGGCACCATGGGCCCCGAAGGCATCTGGGACGCGTCGGCGCCCGTCAGAGCAGCGCAGCGCACCTGTGACTTCGGGTTCAGGTTGATCACGCGGCCTCCGCTGTAGTACCGGCTGTTCAGAACCGTCACGTTGGAGAAAGTCCCCGCTTTGCCCTGGAGATATTGGCGCCCCCTTGTCAACACCTCCTGCGGCGTCTGCCCGGTGAGCTCGAACCAAATGGGGGCGCCGGTGTGGTCGAGGAAACGCCCGACGCCCTTGGCGAAGTTGTGCACTGACTTCACGTCGAAGTACATGCTCATCAGTCGAGCGGCGTAGCCCTGGGCGGGCCGATTGGCAGGGAACGCTGCAATCGGCTTCTGCATGGCCTTCGGCGAGTTCCTGGCGGGGCCAGAGGTCGCGCGGCTGACTCTGGGCAGCGATGAGGAAGAGAGCGCTCGCCTGGTCCGATGTCGCAGATTCGCGAGAAAGGCCTCCGAGCCAGAACGGCGACATACAGTCAGCAGCAGCGCGGGCATCACGCCGAAGAGAGGGGGGCCCCGCGGTACACAGAGCCCCAAGGAGCCCCGACACCCCGATAGACGCAGCAACAAACATCATGTGACAATATAGCGCAGGGATCTTGCTCGAAACGGTTCCTCTGCATGTGTATCGCGGCTGCTGGGCTTCCGAGAGGAGCGGCGCTAACAGAAATATCGCGCGATCTGGCAAACGGCTCCCCCCCCCCCCGCGTCCGCGCGGCAGGAGCAACCCCCCCTTGTGTCTGCTCCAAAAACATCGGCTCGCTTCCCCAACGCGCTGCTCACAATGCCGCACAACACCGCCCCACATTGTCCCCCCCCCCGCCCCCCCGCGTCCCCCGGGGGGCGCCGGGGGCTTCACAGCGAAGAGAAGGGGGATATTAAAAAGGAATATAGAAATGTGAAGCACGGCGCTGTTTCAAACGACCAGTCTCGGGCTCGGGCAATTGCAATGACCAAAGTTGAGATGCTGATGTGCCGTGACAGGGGCTGCGTTGCGCCGTGCCATGCCGCGTTGAACTGTGCCGCGCGCGATTGCATTGTGGATCAGGCGAGGTATCCGAGAGGGAACTGGGCGATCCCTTCACGGTATCTGCGAGGTATGCGAAGGGTGCGCACATAAAGTTTCTCCGAGAGTAGTTATCCGAGAGACACCTGAGAAGAATCTGCGGGACGCCTGAAAGCGATGGCGGAGGTAAAGAGGGGGAACTGACGATGGAACGTTTCCGCCCAGCCGCCACTGACCAGAGCCGCGTTTGGGGGAACTGACGCCGGGACCAGAGCTGGTCCGAGGCCCGGCTGGGTTGCAAGGGATACCTTCGACGCCGCGCCGCGATCCCCGAATTCCCAACCTGTATCTGCAAGGAGGCCCCGGGATCTGCTAGGTGAAACGGTGAAACGCATTGCTAAAGGCGGCGCAGGCCTGGCGCGCGCGATCCTGGCTCAGATACGCGCCGGGGGCCGCCCGGCCCGGCGCGGCGTGCCCGCGGATGGCGCGGGCGCCCCGCCGCGCCGCGCGTGGCGTAGGCCGGGAGCGGCGCGAGGAGGGCTCGATCACGATGATGCGCCATCTCTGGGGAGCGCATCTCCGGGCGCCCGAGCCAACGCAGCGCACCAAGAACACCGGAAGCCGGAGGCGCCCCGCTGGAAGCATTGGCGGCACAGGCACGGGTGCTGGCACTCGCCGCAGACCGCCTGAGGAAATGCCCCG